AGAATATCATGTTTACATTATTGGATTCTGGGGTCTGAATTACACTGCTCAAAATAATAAAGGGAACAAATAAACAACATAATATAACTTCAAATGGAACTGTCCAATTGGTAAGCAACACTGATTAACAATCATTTTCACCTGCTGTTGTGCAAATGTAAAAAAGACAAGCGGAGAAAAATATTGCAGTTAGCAATACTCATGCAATAAAGGCATGGTTCTGCACATGGGGACCACAGATCACTTCTTATGCTGTTTGCCTGATGTTTTGATCACCTTTGAATGTTGGTGTTGCTTTAAGATTAATGGTAGCATGAGACGGATAGCACATCAAGGCACATCGATTGCGAGCTGTGGAAAGAAGGTCTGTTGTGTCTCTCAGAGACTGAAGTCTTCACCAGGAGACAGACCAGGACACCAGGAGATGTGGAGGAGGCCATTGGAGGGCAAAAGCCCAGAAGCAGGACTGCTACGTCCACCTTTGTGCAAGGAGGAACAGTAGAAGCACTGCCAGAGCCCTGCAAAATGACCTGCAGGAGGCCAAAAATTTGCATGTCTCTGCATAAATGATAAAAAACAGACTCCATGAGGATGGTACAAGGGCCTGACATCCAAACATGGGGTTGCGCTCACAGCCCAACACCTTGCAGGACCCTTGGCATTTGCCAGAGAACACCAGGATTTGCAAATTCTCCACCGGCACCCTGTGAACTATACTGATTAACGTCTTAACATCCACCTCATTTTGGGTAATCCTCGCCTATTTTGCATACCCAAATGGAAAAGCAAATAACTTAGGAACTGTAACTGCCCAAATTACATGTGCAATACATTATTTGAAAGCTAACACCTTCTAGTTTCTGAATATATAAATTAAAGTTGGCTGACTCTTTTTTGAAATGCAGTAATAAAGACATTCTTGAGAAAAAGCAGGTTTTATTGTTTTATATTTGTTCTACATCAAATCAACCACCAATGCAAAAAATGTCAGTACTCTAGCTATAACAGTTCCACAGCTGTGGGGTTTGAAACTTTTTGTATCACCTTGAAACTGTGCGCAATGACTCCACCTGCTGATAAAAATTTTACCAGTGGAATTTGATGCATTCTGAGTTATTACCCCCACTTAAGGTCCACCGGATCGCCGGCGATCCGGTGGGTTTTAAGAATTTAAAGTAGGTTCAAACTGAGCACAGTGACAGACATGACAGAGTCTGGACTGAGAAACACAACTCTCCAGCAAAGCGAAAGGTGAAGGAATCTGTTTTTAAATGAAAAACGGCTGGTCCAGCAATGTTGGCAGTGATCCAGGAGCACTGTTCTCCTGACCTGGAAACCGGGATCGATGCCTGGTTTGTAGCGTTCTGTACACCATATTTCGTGGAATTGTCAAGAGCTGTTCTTGGCCGCTGCCATTTGCCTATAAAGTTTCTTCAGAGAGAATGTCTTATGACATGGTATGATATTACTAAACTGCCTAAAATTTAGTTGTATTTCATTTACACTTAAATATTTCACCCTTAGTGAGCATCAGAGACCATGAGACGTGCTTCGTGATATAAAACAGGCAAATAATACAAAAACATTTTGTGAGATTTCTCAGGTGGATTTTAGTCATTTTTTTATTATTCATTATTGAATTCCTCATTGAATTCCTCATTGAATTCCTCTCCTCATAGGAAAAAAAACATGAGGATGAGTCAAAACTGATTTGCAGTAGACCCTTTTGATTTAAAAAAAAATAATTGATAAAGATGTAGCTAAAATACAGGATAGGAGTATCATTAGGAGCAGCGTCAATGATAAATTATTAAAGATACCCATCCCTCGTTTAAAGGTAACCCCAGAATCTGCAGGAAATAAGACTAATGAGCCTTGGTGAGTAAGCATATTCCAGTTGAAATAATTTAATGTTCATCAATTCTTTTAACCCTCAATTTGACTGGTATATCAATTAACTTTGACTTCAAGTCCTAGTTATTATATGTAATGACTCAGAACAGGGGGACCCAGAATCCAGGCAAGACAGACAGTGGAATAACTTAAAAAGAGGTTATTCAAACCAAGGGCTGTGGATCTGTGGTATTAGCGGCTATGGCGTCTAAGGCAGGAACGTCTATAGGAGAGAAACACAGGTTAGGGAACATGATAATCTGAAGGAGGATGATTATGAACCTAGTGTGACAGTTCAGTCCGTGCCCAGACAACGAGGATGATCCAAGCCAGTCTGCTGACAAAACGTAGTGGAGAGAGTTCCAGACACAGGATCCTAGAAGGTTGTAGAACTGGCAGGAGGTCAGATCCGAGCAAAGGAAGGAAGGCAGAATAACCCACAGCGTGAAGAGGCAGATCCAGGTTCTGTCCACAAAAGAATCCAACAGGAGTCCGAAGACAGGTCAGGCAAACAGATCAGACAGGTTCAGGCAAAGCTCAGGAGTCCAGAGGCAGAAACCAGTCAGGATCAGGTAATCAGAAACACAACTAGGTACACTAGAGAACACTTACACAAGGCTTGAGAATAATCTGGCACTAATTGCTGGGAACAAGGAGTTTAAAAAGCAGCCAGAGCAGGTGGAACAGATGAGCAGTGATGAGAAACAGGGCAGAGCTAGACAGGTGAATGAAATGAGCAATTAAGCCAGCCATCAGCACCAAGATCATGACATTATATAGTTGTAATCGCTGGTAAAATTGTAATGCCTCCACAGTAAAAGGCAATTCTAAACACATTGGTATTTAATTCTTACTTAGAAGAACTCAGGCTTTCAGCAGTTTTTCCAGTCTTCTGGGAGTTTCTTCCAGATCAGTGGAGCATAGATGCTGCTTCCTCATGTTTAGTTCTAGTTATGTGTAGACAGAGTAGGCTGGAACTAGAGGACCTAAGTGGTCTGGGAGGTAGATTTGCTGACAACAGTTCTGTTATGGATTGAGGTGCTGATCTATTTAGTGCTTTCTAGACTAACAGAAGGATTTTAATGTATTTTCTCTGAGCTACAGGGAGCCAGTGGAAGGACTTCAGAACCGGACTGATGTGTTTTACTTTCTTAATTCTAGTGAGAATTAGTGAGATTCTGCATTTTATCAGCATTTTAGCAGGACCAGTTTTGGTTTACAGGGCAGCCGTTTGGGAATCTTGCGCAACCTTCGCATTGACACCCCTCAACTGCATCTGATCCCCCTATAGACTGAGTATTCTGTTCTATTTATTTTCATTAAACATTTTGAAACTTCTCACTCTCTGTCTAGCCTTAAACAGGGTCCCTTTGTCCCTTTTCCTGACGATGTCTGTCATGATGGGCTTTAACACAACCCACACCGACTGAAAACCTAACAATGTCACCAGTCACAGGAACTGTTTCTTCGTCACCATGGACACAACACTAACATTCAGCTACACAGATTATAAAAGTCAGGACATGGAAGACAATGTGGATCCAGATAACAACTTCTTCTACAACATTGTTCATAACTACTACTACACAACTGACCTATATGAAGCTTTAGCCACAGCTTAAACCATGCTACTTCAGGTCAAGTCTGGTTCTGATTCAGTCCAGTCCCTCTCTGCCTGAACCCATCCGTCACTACCTCTCCTTTGACAATAACATTTTAAACTTTTAAATGCAAATTAATTTCTCACAACACCAATAACTTCTAAAAGCAACCGAAGCTCTTCAGAAGTCCAGAATGCCGCTATCAAAGCAAGCTGGGGTGGCTTTCAGCAAAACAACAGCCTGGTTGGCTGTTTAGTGTGAAAACTGAAGTTTCACTTCTCTTTTCTGAGTAAAGATAACACTTCAGTTAGAGCTTGAAACACAAGGAAAGCTGAGATTATATTAGTATGTGTGATTCACAAGTTCCTCTTTTTTTGTATTTGCTTGCTAGTGTGACCTGCAAAGGGGGTAACTTTTTAAACAAGTTGCATCAGAACACAGAATAGTCCTAAGTATTTTATTAAACAATTTCTTTAAAACATTTCTTTGTGTAAAGACATGTTTTCAGGTCTCCTACTCGATCGCTGCAAAAGGGATTGTAGGAAATAAGGGCAATTTAAATTATTTAAAAAAATAAGTGAAAAAACAAAATATGTAATGCAAAAGCAAAGAGAATAGTAATTTCAATAATAAGAGAACAGTGGAAAAAATTGTACACATACACATACATGAACACACACCAGCAAGATTTTGACATAGCACTTGGTGCTAGTGTATAAATACAGCCTCATATGCCTCTGTCATTTTGGGGGGAAAAAACTGAGATGTGTGATGATAGTGCTGAACTTACCAAGTGTTTTTTTTTTCCTGTCTGGCAATGTGGCAATAAGAATAATTGTCTTGATGCCAAAAAGAGCCCAACAGATTTTACTTTCACAAGTGTAGCAGTATGGCAATTGCCATATAGTTCCACTTGTTTCATGCATATAAATTGCTTTATTATAATTATGCAGGGAGTTTTACAGTTTATATGGACACTGCAATGTAAATAGAGCAGAAAAACAGAAGAAGAAAAGTAAAAAGAAAAAAAAGAGAAAAGATGAAAGAAAGAAGAGAAAGGAGACAATGATAAAACATTTTCAGTCTGCTTCATCACCTGTAACGAGATGAAAAAAGAACAGCACAACCGAAAGACATGGTACGAGATATACAATAAATCAACACCTTGAAACTATCGCTAAAGTAATATTATTAAGTCTGACATGTACTCTGTGTTACCTGAAGATACGGATGTGGGCTTCCTGTATGGAAGTGAATCTGTAATTGTTTGTGAGGGTGCACTTGTGCATGTAAAGTTTATCCAATGAAAAAATGCTCAATGGTGGTTGTGGAGAGCTGAAGAGGCGCACCCCCCAGAGCACTGAGTCCAGCGCCGGGAGACCCTAAGCCCCAGGCGCCCAAAGGGATCCAAGGCGCGAAGGCACCAAGGAGGGGCCAGCCCCGGAAATCGGACCCCCACCAAGGGAGGAGGAGAGACAGCCCCCAAGAAGCCCCCCAGCCACAGCCATGCCGGCGCCCCGGGGAGCCGCGGAGGCGAGTCCGCGGGCTCCGCCGGCAGCCGGCCACCCTGAAGTAGGGCCGGGCAAAGAACACCGGCCCCCCCACGGCACCGACCGAAACGCCCCGGCCCCACAGAGCGCCGAAACACGCCACAAACCAGCCGCGAGCGCCGCGGAACCCCCCCAAAACGCCCCCCAGGCCAAATGCAAGGCCCCGCCCCACCAAGACAGACGCCAACAGCGCACAACGCAACAAACTGTGCACAGAACTGACCCAAGAGCAGAAAAGCCGCCCGGCGCCCGACCGCCAGAAGAGCAGACCGTAGCCGGCGCGACCACGCCCCCCAGCAGCCCGCGGGCAGCACAGAGCCAGAGTGGAGCGAACAACGCCGCTCCCCCACCGGACGAAGCCAGAGCAGCACAGCCGTGTCTGACGCCTGCACAAGCCCCCAACACGCTGCCGATGCACCTCCGCCGCCCCGGCCCCCCGACGCGCGCCGGCCGGAGCCAGTCCACCCCCCACCCGCCACGCAGCCACACCCGCTGCGATCAGCGAGACCAAAGCAGCTCCAACATGCCTCCAAGCGGGAAAACCCACCCGAAGACCCAATCAGCGCAGCCAGCCCATCCACACCAGCCCCCCAACACCAACCCCAACGGGGCCGCCCCCCGAGAGAGCAGACATGCCAATCCGGAAAAAGAACGCCAAGCAGAAAAGCCCCCCCAATGCGACAGTAGACACCAGACACCGACCTGCCCGCAACTGCTCCCCCCACCGGGAGAAAAAAAAATAAAAGATAAATAAATAAATAAATAAATAAATAAATAAATAATAAATAAATAAATAAATGTTTCTAAATAAATAAATAATAATACATATATATATATATATATATATATATATATATATACACATATACACATATATATACATATATATAAATAAATAAATAGATAAAAGAATAAATAAATAAATAAATTCCCCTAAGCAAGAGGAGAAATGCAAGTGGAAAAACCAGAGCCCAAAACAAAACCCAAGACCCGCACCTCACCATGCAGTGCAGCTCCCCTCCCCCCCGAACCGGTACCACAAGACCAGCATCGGAAAAAAGCACCGCCCAGGAACCGGCATCGAAGCGAAGGCACTGACACCGACAATCCCAGAACAACACCCGGCCCCACCCTGAAGTGAATCCAGTCCCGGGCCCCAGGGATCCGAGGCCCCAGGGGCACCCAACCCCCAAACAGGAGCCCCAGCAAGGCCCCGGCCGGCCGGGGCAGCGGAGAGGCCGCCAGGAATGAGCCGGCAGCCACCCGGGCATCCACCCCCAGACCCCGAGCCCCACCAGTGCACCGGCGAGCCCCGACACCAGACAGCGGAGGGAGAGCAGGACGGGGGGAATGGGCTCCGCAGTTAGTGGAGACTTGAGATGTATTTGGGAGAGGGTGCAGTTGAGACCCCAACCTTAAAAAAAAAAATAAAAAAAACACACTCACAATCTCAATTATGCCATCCCTCCCTAGTGCCCCCATTCACACCACAGAAAAAATAAATAAATAAAAAAAAATAAATAAATATATAAATAATAAAATAAAGTAAATAACTAAATAAATAATAAAAATAAATAAATAAATAAAATAAAAACGCGGACACACATTCACACATAACACTCGCATCCAATAATACCAGTCCCAAAGACCCGGCGGGACCGGTGGTTGGTCCCGGGACTATCGGATGACCCGATAAGTGAACCTAAAATCCGGATGGGGGGGAGGGGAGCGGCGACACCGCCACACCAACCCATCTCATTCCTGCTTCGAGCCCGGCCACCCACCCCGCACACGGACCGGACCACCCCCAGCAAGAGTCCCCACCGGAACCGGGGCCCACCCATCCTGCGCAGGCCACCCAACCAGAACCGCCCCCCCCAAAAAAAAAAAAAAAAAACTACTTCAACCAGGCACTTCATGCCCCTCCTTCCAACCTTCTTATGAAGTGTTTAAGACAACGGTAGGAATTTAAATTGTAATAAATAAATGTCTCCCCCCTCCGGAGGACAAAATGAATCGTTTTCAAGTGTCCTTCTTTCTGTCATAATATAATTCTACCAATGAGCTTCCACACTTTGAAAGGGATCTTCTTCAGCATTCAGACCCTTTCCTCAGTATTGATTAGAAGCACCATTTTTGAGCTAGTACAGCCATGAGTCTTCTTGGAAATTTGGAGATCCTCTATCCATTCTTCCTGCAGATCCTCTCCAGTTCTGTCAGGTTGGATGGTGAGCTTTGGTGGACGGCCATTTTCAGGGCTCTCCAGAGATGCTCCATTGTGTTTAGGTCAGGGCTCTGGCTGGGCCAGTTAAAAATGGTCACAGAGTTGTTCCCAAGTCACTCCTTTGTTATTGTAGCTGTGTGCTTAGGGTCATTGTCTTGTTGGAAGGTGAACCTGTGGCCAATTCTGAGGTCCTCAGCACTCTGGAAGACGTTTTCTTCCAGGGGAAGAAAACCAGGATTCTGTACTTGGCCACATTCATCTTTCCTTTTATTGCAACCAGTTGCCCTGTCCCTGTAGCTGAAGAACACCCCATAGCATGATGCTCCCTCCACCATGTTTCACTGTTGGGATTGTATTGGGCAGGTGATGAGCAGTGCACCTGTTTTTTTCCAGACATACCGCTTTGATTAACGGGAAATAGTTAGATCTTGGTCTTTTTGAGTACAGTATGAAAAAGAGAAATAGCATCTAAAATTATAACGGAAGTTCCCCACAAGGATAGTGTGACACAACATGTGTGTGTGTGTGTTTGTGTGGTCTTGTTTTACCTATAATGTGAGGGAAGTATTTTGAAAAATATTCTACATGCGAGGACTTACAGGTACATATGGGGACATTCAACTGGTCCCTATATGGTACATTTCTGTTATTTGGGTTGGGGTTAGGTTTAGGACTAAGGTGTGAATTCAGTTTGGTTAGGATTAGGTATATCTTGGATATAGTTAGTGTTAGGGTAAGGGTCTGGGTTAGGACATATAAAATGAATGCAAGTCAGGGAAATATCCCCATATGTCATGAAAACAAAGCTGTGTGTGTGGGGTGTGGGTGTGTGGGTATGTGCATGTGTGTGTATATGTGTGTTTGTGGTGGGGGTGTCATATTTGTGTGTGGGTGGTTCTTTTAAAGAAAGCTGAATATTTAAGCAGCAGCCTCTTTGCAGATAACGATCTGCTCGGTCTGAACTTCTTTCTCGAACTGAATATTTTAAGACGACGTCTTATTGGAATAACTGTAAGACTTGATTCCAGTTACTATGTTCTTGAATCAAAATATAGTTTCACTGCAATGATCAATGTTGATTTGCTGTTTTTCTGAATTATTTTTTTGTTTGCAGGATTGCAAGGATGAAGACCAAACTGTTTTTCCTTGGTTCTTTGTGTTTGCTTCTTTGCTGCAATCTGCAGGAGGTAATTTCAGTCGGTTGGCGATATACTGCAAATTCAAACTTTTTGAAAATATCTTTAATGCTTGATTTTAAGGTCAAATTTCTATTTACCGCACTATTTTTCATTCCTATATTTTTGTCTTAAGATTGGTAAACACAAAACAGGTCCATCTATTTTCTAATTTCGCAGGTAGTTTTACTGTTTAATGTGCAATAGTATTTGGTTTTTTTTTACTTTCTACTGTATATTGCCCTGTATAAAATTGCTAGACTGTTGTAATTCTTTACTATCAGGAAGTCCACAAACTGTAGTTAAAAGCCTTCAGCTGATCCAAAATGCTGCAGCCAGAGTTCTGATGAAAATGAAAAAGAGAGATCATATCTCGCCTATCCTGGCTTCTCTTCATTGGCTTCCTGTTAAATCCAGAATAGAATTTAAAATCCTCCTTCTCACATATAAAGCCTTAAATGGCCAAGCTCCATCTGATATCAGAGATCTGATTGTTCCTGATGTTCCTAACAGAGCACTTCGCTCTCAATCTGCAGGTTTACTAGTGGTTCCTAGAATTTCTAAAAGTAGAATGGGAGGCAGATCTTTTAGTTCTCAGGCTCCTCTCCTGTGGAACCAACTACCAGTTTTAGTCCGTGAGGCAGACACCCTGTCTACTTTTAAGGCTAGGCTTAAAACTTTCCTTTTTGATAAAGCTTCTAGTTAGAGTGGCTCAGGTTATCCTGAGCTATCACTATAGTTATGCTGCTATAGGCTTAGACTGATGGAGGACATGGGGACCCCTTTTTCATCATTCTGCTTCATTCTATCTCTATTCTCCCACTCTGCAGAATCTGTTAGTTCAATCTCTAACTGTCTCTCTGACTAACTGGATGTGCTCTCTTCATCCTCTGACATGGGAGCTGGCTCAGAGCTCGTCTGCCTGGCTGTGTGTTTCCTGGACGGGGCCGCCTGTGGAGCTGGTTGACAGTTGCCTTTTGTATCTATGCTTCTTTTTCTATGTCTGCTTCTGTCTCCTTGAACCCCAGTGGGCCTCAGCAGATGGCCGCTCTCACTGAGCCTGGTTCTGCTGGAGGTTTCTTCCTGTTCAAAGGGAGTTTTTCCTCTCCACTGTCGCTACAAGCATGCTTAGTGTGAGGGATTGCTGAAGAGTCAATGAGTCGATGCAATCAGCTGGTTTTCCTTCGATAGAAAACTGAATCAATCTGACTGATCTGGTCGATCTGGATCTATAATGACCTGAGATGACATGTGAATTGGAGCTATAGAAATAAACTGAATTAAATTTCGTTAAGATTGCTGTCAATTACAACTAACAGACGCAGATAAAACTGCTGCATATGAAACTTTATCTACATCCTGATTTGCTTTTCACACTCTATGTTTTTTCTCTACTTCTAGATCTTTGGCCTAGAAGATCAGTCCTTCCCGCTAGACATTGCTGAAGAATCTGTTGATGACATGTACCGTAACTGTGATACCAAGATGGAAAAAAAGGTCAAGGAAGACTATTTTAAAAAAGAATCAAACAATAAACTGTTTAGAGGAGTGTGGAATAAAGCTGAAAATTGTGCCCAAAACAACATGATAAAAAGAGAAAAAGAAGATAAAAAACTAACAGAATATAATATGCAGGCAATTTGTGTTTACACGGCTGGAGGACAGACAAACTTCTACCAGATATTCAATCAAGCAGTTAGGATCATGAGAAGGAACTATAGCTCATCCTTTGAATTTCATTCCCTACATTTCTGGCTGACCAGGGCTATACAGATACTAAATACACCACAATGTAAAACCACATACCGCAGAACCAAAGCTGAGTTCACTGGTAACGTCAACCAAGAGATGCGGTTTGGTGCTTTTACTTCTTCCTCTGAATTAACTAACCTGACACATTTTGGTAAAAATACATGCTTTAAAATTCACACTTGTTATGGTGCTAATTTAAAAGCTTACCCAGTCCTGGGAAATTATGAGAAAGAATGGCTTATTCCTCCATATGAGAAGTTCAAAATAACCAGCAAAGATAAAGCAGATGGACTCAGTGACTGTGACAGTGTTTTTACTTTGAATAGTACTGGTATCCTAAGCAACCTCAACTGCAGTCTAATACGTTCATAATTTTTTTTCTTCAGCTATGCCCAGTGGCGCCTCCAGAAATGTTTCATGGGGGGGGCAAGATGGGGCCATTAAACACCTTGGAGTGGCCACTGAAACTAAAAGCCATGATTTCAGGTTTTGAATGTAGAAATCATAAAGGCTTCAGTAAACACCGACTCATATCTGGCTTTATTGGGTGATTCTTAATGTTACGTCGCTGGCTGTGATGATCATTTAAAATAAACTGATGTAAATTTAAGCCAGTGGCTACTTCAATAGAGGCAGTAAATTTGACTTCAGCCATCTCAAAATGAACTATTAGCTGGAAATACTGTCTAATTGAAACATCTTTTTTTTAACCTGGTAGAGAGATTAACAAGCCGAACTTAATCCACAAAAAGAAATTTGTCAAAATGTTTGGAGGTGTTTGGAGAAACTTATGTAAAAACTTGTATTTAGGTTAAGATGAAATTGTCACTTCTGCTTCAGACAAGACATTGACTGCTTAAAGCTTCTCTTTTAAACCATTTTAACTGCTAAAATGTTTGAAGACTTTAAGGTTATTGCTTCTGCAACAAGAGGGATTTTTACCTGCTGTTTTGCTTATGTGTTAGCATGGATCCTGTACTTTGTTTTGAACGAAGTCAATAAAATGGCACTGGTACAATAACAGAATGATGAGAGAGTCTGTGTGTCTTATATATTCATTTTGTGTTACTAACTAATAATGTTATTTTCTAAGGCTGTTACTACCAACACTGCTGCCATACTGCTAGTAGCACATAACACACTCATTGTAGTATGAAAGGCGTGGGGAAGGAACATATCTTGGTGCACGAGGTTGAGACATTCCAGATAGAGATAGTCCGACTTACCTTGACGCATGGCTCTGGCTCTGGCACCAGTCTCCTTGAGATGGGCTGAACATTCTTTCACATTCTTCCACTCTGGAGTTGCCCCTAATCTTGGTGCCTGGACTTTGGGGTTTTACCTTGTTGAGTGAAAGGGTGGCAGCCAAAGAGTTATACCTGGGGGGGCGTGGTTGGGAGGAATGGCCCAACTAATTTGAACTCAAGTGGTGTTCTGTTATTTGACTTCTGTGCTCGTAATGGATTGTCCACAACGAACACCATGTTACAGCATAAGAGTGTCCATATAGGCTCTTGGCATTAGGACACTCTAGGCCGACTTAGTTCTAAGTACTGGTCTAATTTAAGAGGTTATAGACAGGACCATCCAGCCATGAAGCAGTTAAAGCTTATGAGAAAACAAATTTAAGATATTTAATGTTTATCAGTTTATGTAGATCAGACCAGCTTTTCCTTTAGTAGTAATGCAGCTTTGGATCATAATAGATGTCACGTTGAAAAGGAAAAAAGAGGAAAAGGAAGTCCTTTTAAATGCGTAATAAAGAATGATGTTTGTAATTATTACAGATAAGCTTCAAAGAATACATTAAATAGAGTTAAAGTTGATGTTTTTGTTCTGGAATAAATATGATAGAACCGATTTTCTTTTTACTTAATTTTGAATAGCAGATTATTATGGGGGATCAAATTGGACACAATGCAGCATAGGAGGTGAATAAAAACTTAAAAACTTAACTTAAAAAATCTGGTTATTAGTTTTTTCTTTTTGGGAGGGGGGGGAAAATGTTAATAAAACAGAAAAAGAAGGAAAAAAGTTGCAAAAACCAAGTTAGAAAGGGAAAAAAAAGGAAACTGGAGGAAAACAGGAAAAATAGAATGTGTAATATGCTTAAAAATTATAAGGGGGAAAGATAACAGTTCAAATTGTAAGATTTAAGTATATTTAGATTTAGTTTAAGTGTTTATGATGAAATGGAAAATTGATTCAGTTATTGTTTTTACAAATGCAAATACTGTGCATCTGCAGAAAATCAATATAGAACTCAAGCTATATATGGTTAGTGGTCATTGGTGTCATACTCATATTCCTGAGGCTACAGCTCATGCCCCTACAACATAGATAGTACAAACAACCGGCAGCTTGACTGTGGCTCTGTTCAAATTCATGGGCTGCGTCCTCAGAAGGCCCGATTGGAAGGACGATTGCATCATAGCACGGCGCAGAGGTCTGTTTGGATTCCTGGGTCAGGGTTCAACACTATAGTTCCAAAGATTCCAAGTTAGCTAAACATGATTAGAACCAGGACCAGAACCAGGACGAGAACCAGAACCAGAACCAGGACCAGGACCAGAACCCGGAACAAAACCAGGAACAGGACCAGAACCAGGGCCAGAACCAGGACCAGAACCAGGAGCAGACCCAAGAACAGAACCAGAACCATGACCAATACCAGGACCAGGACTAGAACTAGAACCAGAACCAGAACCAGGACCATGTCCTTGGACTTGGAGGAGCTAATTCTCATCCTGGCCGTTTCCCCCTCGGCTCTGAACCGCCCCAGTTCCTTCTGTAGGTCATGGCAGGAGGGAGGCAGCAGAACCACCTAATCCACAGAAAGTCAGAGTTAGGAGAAAATGTCAGAGTTCTGAGATTAGAATCAAAATTCTGACTTTTTTCACATTTTTAAAATTAATAGCAGAATTATGACTTTTTTTTAAAGAATTCTCAGAATAAAGTCAGAATTCTGTGATTAAAGTTAGTAAGTAAAAAAATAAAGTCATAAATAGTTATATATTCAAAGTGGTGGGGGAAGCGGCTTTGTTTTCTGAAAAATTGCATAGTGTGAATGTATTGTTTGAATTCATGCTTAAAAGCAGTAATACACGGTTTGGAGCCTCTATATTTACATTTATATATAAAGAACTTTGCAGAGATGAAGATAAAGTCAGAGAAATGAAACAATTAAAAGGAAAACCTGGTTCTTCTTACCCAATTCGTACCATCAGCTCATCTGCACAACCAGATATACATCCCAAAATTAATATTTTTATATACTTTTTATTGATGATTTTAGGTTCACTGTAAACTGGACTATATAAAGAATCTATGTCAATATTCTCTCATTTTAAATTCATACAACTACAAGGTTGACATTTTTTAAGTTAATATAAAGAACTAATATAAATGGAGAAGCACAACCTAAGGAAGAAAAGACATTTCTAACAACTTTAACAACTTAAACATGAAGTTCTCTGGTCTACAGTGTAATATTAATGTACTGACAAGTGTTGGTCACCAGGAGGCGACATTGTTCTATACAAGTGTGTGTGGCAGAGACGTTCAAGACTCCTCGTTATGCGGCCTCAAAATGCCCGATTTGAAGGACGAGTCCAATGTATCTTTGCTATCTTTGGAAATCCCAGGATTCATTGCTGTTGTTGTTCCAGTTTGAAGGGGCAGCTTAGTTTTTCTTTTTCAGTTTCTCAGTGCATCCACCAGATGGTGCCACTGGTTCTCTGTTGGCCTGGAGGGCCTCTTGCTTCTCTCACTGCATGAAAAGTGGGATTTTCGTCAATATGCGGCACTGTAGATTGTCGTGGAACTTCAGGTTAGCGGCAGTTTACGGCAATTTGCAGGCTTCGCCGAAAACTCCCGTAAATTGTCAGAAATTGACGTGGACTCTCTTAGGCAGTGTTCCCCCCATGCCTCCCCCCCATGGAATTCTAGGGGAGGCTTTAACATGTAAATGAACATGCTGTGAGCTATACAAATGCAAACCAGGGTTGCAGGGGGGGTTTTACCCCAAGTGACATTTTTCTAAAAGGTAAGAAAATCTCTGATACAAAGAGATCAGGCTCAGTATAGCCTCTTACATTTTAGCTTGAATTGATTTATTTAATTAAAGTATAGAGACCAAAACAGATCTTTAGCTGACAGAGCAATACATTTAGAGCAGTAATTATAAAAAAAAAAAATTGCATTTAAGATAAAAAATAAAATGTTGTCTGTCAATATGCTCAATTCACAATTACTTAAGTAGAAAAGTTTCAAGAAATGAGTCTGAGATGATTCACTTTATAACATGGCGCATTATCCTGCTGGAAGTAGCCATCAGAAGATTGGTACACTGTGGTCATAAGGTCCGGCCAGGTCAAGATCCGCAATTGCAATCGCACCAAACAGGAAAAAGAACATCGACAAATTCCGGTTCGTCAAATTAAAATATAGCAGCAACAGATCGGTGACTAGAAATTATAGCACAATTCTTATATATAAAAAAAAAAACTAACACCGTTTATTTAAATGATTGGATCCAAACTATTGGTTATTCACCAACGAGGAAGCAGATTTCTCATCTCCATTAAAATATTTATTTTATACCGAGGGACTTAAAGTTGAATCAAATCCATTCAAAAGAAACTTCTTATTACAGGAATGAAAAGAGAT